TTGGTAGCGTCGTTCCATTTTATGTGAGTGAATTGTCGGAAATCTGAGAGGTCTTTGTAAGTAAGACCGCTGTCGAGCAGCACGGCGGCGATGTACGTGTGTTGTGGTTTGTTGGGCGCGTCGAGCTGGTCGGCATGATAATCAAGCCAAAGTTCCAGTTGTTCTTGTGGGGTGCGTTGTTGAAATTGTGGAAGTGGTCGCCATGGTTTGGCAGGTCGGCGTAGAGCAGGAATGTTGGGATAGCTGGTGTGTGACTGGTTCGTGACAGCATCTTGTTGTATTGAGTCGTTGTTGGGTAGAAGAGAAATGGGTGGCCTGGAGCGACTGCGTGAGCGGCTGTAGGAGTAGGTGGAGTAGGTAGAAGAAGGTGAACGCGGGCGGTGGTGTCGTGTTGATTGATGTCCGTGAGAGGCATCCTGCTGGGTGGTTGAGCGTGTGGTGCGGTGGCGACGAGTGCGCCTGCCCCGAGTGTGATGGCGATGGCGGCGACGATGAGGGCGGCGGTGGCTGCTGCTTTGGTGACTGGGAGCGATGGATGCTGGAAGTGGGTGTGTGGCGGTGGTCTGTGGGTGAGCTGGTGGTGGTTTGGGGATGTGTGCGCCGAGAGGATCGTCGGATGGATTGGAGGCTGCTGCGGCAGAAGGTGGTGGTGGGTGTGAAAGAGGATTTGAAGAGGTTTGCTCAGTGCCAGGGCGGTCTGCTTGCGTTGAGGGCGCCGTAGAGGTTGGCGATTGGGGGCCAGGAGTGGCTGCGGCGGGAAGTGACGCTGGCGCTGCAGCAGGCAAAGGGTCAGGAGGAGATGAAGCGGCGACTGCAGAGGTCTGGCTTGGTTGAGTTGGGCCTGGTGGAACATGACCCGGTTGAGCGACTGGCGGAAAAACCGAAAATGGTTGCCGGCTGGCAGGCTTGGGGTGGAGGTGGTTGTACGTGAGGTACTGGTGGTGGTTTTGGTTGCGGGGAAAGCATGGCAGAAGATTGCGACGGCGAAGGTTCTGGCGGAGGCAGTGAGTAGGAGAGTGGAATCGTATGGTGATGCGGTATCTGAGGTACTAGGTGTATATGAGGCAAAGTCGGTGGTATGTGTGGAATCGTGGGAGGCATGTGAGGTTGCGTCGGTGGGATGGAAAAGTGTGGGCTGCGGTAGGTGGTGGTTGCTGAGTCCAGTATGGGTATGGCCATGGATACTGCATTGGCTCAATGTTGGTGATAGTCGAGGTTCCAGTCAAAATGCTATAGCTTCAAAGGTGACGGCTGCTCAATGGCACCAGCGTGGCGCGGCAGCTGCTGAAAGTCTCTGCTACTTGTACCCGTGGAATGAAATCATGAAATGGTGAAGGGGTAAATGTCAAGCATGAAAACGAGATGGAAGATGAAAAGCTTGAAACAGGTGATGCATGGTAGAATGTGAAATGTCATGTCTCGTACGTGGTGGAAGGTGAAATGTTCTGGTACCTCTGTGAACTCGAAAGTGCAGCTGCAATGAATTCGAAGACGTAAATCTTTCACGCATGTCAGCCATGAAATCCGAAAATGCAAAGATCTGAAAGTGCAAATTCTAAAAATGCGTAGAAAAGCCCGGCGGATGTCAATCCAGTTAATTCAGTATTGGCATGGAAGAAATGACAGTGATCCACGATGAGACGGCGATAAATCAGGAAAACGATTTCCGGTCTGAAAACAGCGCCTCCTTGCGGAGGATCACACCCAGCACCCAAGTGGGACGGCTGAGCGGTTCACACTCTGACATTGGTTTGCTGTTAACTCAATTCCCACGGTGAGAAGGAAGGTGATGGAAACGCAAGGTGAAAAAGTCGGCGCAATTGTATTGTTGAACAAAGTTTAATGCACTCGGCCGCGGTGAACTCAGCGCAGAGAAAAGGGTTTTGGGGGAGGCATTGTGAGAAAGAACCATGAATCAAACCGAGAACAGTGGAGTCACAGCTTGTGCTGCAAAAGTTTCGTCAGCAGGTACGTCGGCAAGCGTCCTTGCCGATATCCTAGGATCATGTGAGGAGCTTCGTTGGATGGAGCCTCACATGTCCTCTCCATCCCCCTGCTTGCGCGATGGAAACATCAAGGTACACGGTACCCTTTGGAACAGGGGTTGACACACTCTAACATTGGTTTCTCTAACATTGGTTTTCAGTTAACTCAATTCCCCGGAAAAATGGCGATGGAACGGAAAGGTGGAAGGGTCAGCGCACTTGGAATGTTGAACAAAGTTTTTTTGCATGACTGCAGCTGGACAACAGTGGAAATCGGCTCATCAGCTAGAGAAAGGTTTGGGGGAGTATCGCGCAAACCACCATGGAGCAAACCAAGGAAGATTAGGGTCACAGCGTGGTCAACAGTTTGGAACAGGTACACAGTGGGGCGTCCCCCACTGCATCAGCACCTACTGGCATCCTCTTCGTTGGACGGGAAATGCCAGTGGTGTCCCGTCCCCCTGCGTGGAAACTGCACAATGAAAATTCAGTGCCCCTGGATATGGGGGTTGACACACACAGTATGCCGTGAGTCGGCGCTTCTGCAGAGAGGCTTGGCGGTTAATAGCTTGCTTGCTGGCTGGCTGGCTTGCTTTCTTGCTTGCTTGGCCACTGGCTTGCAGTGCGGGAAGTGGGTGAAGTGGGGAGGCATGTAGGCTTGTGGGAGTGCATGTTGAAAGGGCGTGGCGGTGACATGGCTGGAGCTTGTGGTGGATGAGGTAGTAAAGCAGGTAGTGGTTGTGGAGGTGGTGGTGGTCGTGGTGGTGGTGGTGGTGGTGTAAGTTGCCAATTGCAGTGGAGCTGGTGATGTTGCCAGAAATAGGACCTGACGTCTGTAAACGTCAATGAATTATTAGATTGCTTGCTTGCTTGCTTTTCTGTGTTTGTGGAAAGTGTCTCATATTGCGCCACAGTCTGGGGTGTGGAGAAGGAGCTGTGTAATTGATGGCTGTGGAGCGGTGTGGTGGATGCAGTAGCACGGCTGCTGGTTTGGTTGGGTTTGATTACATCGAACCGGAGTAACCGTGGTCAGACATGTCCCCGATTCGAAGGAAGGGCGGTCGGTTGCGCGGCCGTTGGTGAATTGAGCGGTTGGGAGATAGCGGAAGAGTTTCACGGCGCTGGGAGGATGATGCTGCTGTGTTGGCAGTGGTGGTTGGTGGGGAGGTCGTGTAAGCGCGCAGCGGCTCGGCAGCGCGGCAGCTCAGCGCAGGTAAACGGCAGGCGACGGTGTCAAAAGACTTGAATAGCAACCTAAAAAGCCTTAGAAAAGAGAAGAACGAAAGACAGAAAGAGCAAACAGAAGAGGGCAAGAGAGAAAGATAGGTGTAGCCCCGTGCACATCTGTCGAGCAAAAGTGCCGAATGAACGGCCAATTAGGGAGTGAGACCCCTGCACTCTTGAATTTCCGCGTGCAAAAAATTCCGAGGAAAAGAAAGAGCGAACCGAAAGGCGAAAGGTCGGAAGACTTGAAGGTGTTTGAACACTTGTTTGGCGCAAGTCTGCAGTCCCTGCGCATTATCCGCTTTACTGAACCTAATCAAAGGATTGCGGTATGAGCCCGGCGGCTCGCCCCTGCGTGGAAACTGCACAATGAAAATTCAGCGCCCCTGGATATGGGGGTTGACACACACAGACAGTATGCCCACAACCTCACACCACCCTCCTCCACCAATTACTTCACCACTTCCACCACCACCAACCCCTACACAATCACCACCGCCACCACCAAAGACACCACCGGTACCAGCACCACCGAGAACCTGATCCAAGACATCACCATCCACCAAACCATCACAACCGCCACCACCGACATACCCCCACACGACCTAAGCAGCCACTTAAGCAGCCATCAAACCCACCTGCACGGCATCTACCTCCTCGCCAAGTTGATCAAGATCCCGCGTGAGTCGGCGCTTCTGGAGAGAGGGTTGGCAGTCAATAGCTTGCTTGCTGGCTGGCTGGCTTGCTTTCTTGCTTGGTTGGCTACTGGCTTGCAGTGTGGGAAGTGGAAGTGGGGAGGCACGTAGGCTTGTGGAAGTGCATGTTGAAAGGGCGTGGCGGTGACATGGCTGGAGCTTGTGGTGGATGAGGTAGCAAAGCAGGTAGTGGTTGTGGTGGTGCTGGTCGTGGTGGTGGTGGTGGTGTAGGTTGCCAATTGCAGTGGAGCTGGTGATGTTGCCAGAAATAGGACCTGACGTCTGCAAACGTCAATGAAATATTAGATTGCTTGCTTGCTTGCTAGGCGTTTTCTGCGTTTGTGGAAAGTGTCTCATATTGCGCCACAGTCTGGGGTGTGGAGAAGGAGCTGTGTAATTGATGGCTGTGGAGCGGTGTGGTGGATGCAGTAGCACGGCTGCTGGTTTGGTTGGGTTTGATTACATCGAACCGGAGTAACCGTGGTCAGACTGACATGTCCCCGATTCGAAGGAAGTCGGCTGCTTGTTGTCAAGGAGAGGGGAGAGAGGAGAGTGAAGACGCGAGAGGCGAGGAGGGAGATCTGTTTGCGGTGTGTGGCACGAGAAGTTGGTGGTCGGCGATGATGTGTGAAAATCAATCAGCGAAAGGCCCAGGCACGTAGGGTGTAGAGCCTGGTGTATGGAAGGGGAAAGGTTGTAGGCCATTGTTCTTTGTTGCCCCATCGAACCGGAGTAACAGCGGTCAGACTGACATGTCCCCGGTTCGAAGGAAGGGCGGTCGGTTGCGCGGCTGTTGGTGAATTGAGCGGTTGGGAGATAGAGGAAGAGTTTCATGGCGCTAGCGTGGTCAACAGTTTGGAACAGGCCCACTGCATCAGCACCTACTGGCATCCTCTTCGTTGGACGGGAAATGCCAGTGGTGTCCCGTCCCCCTGCGTGGAAACTGCACAATGAAAATTCAGTGCCCCTGGATACGGGGGTTGACACACACACACACACCCAAACACAAGGTGCCTGGACACCCACCAATGTTTCGGTAGACAAACAACACATTGTCGTCAGGTACCACTTCGAAGTTCCAGGGCTAGTTTCGCACCTTTGCAGACGGCGCTTCGATGCTTTGTACCACCAACTGCCCAATCCTTGGACATGAGAACACTCGCAATGCAAACTACATCGCCGCTCGCCTTTTGTATCCCAAACAAACCAAAAGGGAGAGAAAGGAGGGCATGATATGGAATTCAAGAATTGAATAGCTGCATAGCTGATATGGAATTCAAGAATTGAATAGCCACAGGACGCTACCGGACACGGCTTTCTATAATGTGGCCTTTGTCACCCGCGATATCTCCACGAGCAGCAACCGAATGAACAATGACAGCCGAACCCTACAGGGTATCCAGCTGTCCCGAGTTCATGTGTTCACTGGGCAGCGTTCTGACAGTTCTGTCGAGAGCCAAGTCCTCTGTGCAAAACTGCTCTCAGTCCAAGAACTTGCGCCCCAGCGTTTGCTCTGCCTCAGAGAGCTTCTCCCGAAGCCTTGCAACCTGAAATCTTAAGGCCAAAAACTCATTACAGACTCCCGCCATCTCACACAACTGTGTGACATCCATCTTTTCACAACACCATTCGTACCTACTCTTGAGAGTGTGCGGAGCAACAGTGATCCAAAAGCGCAAACATACCTTTGCGGTCTATAGCTCAACAGGATCACCTGCAGGTGGTATCTGAATGCTGACACCCCCTAACTCACCACAGTCTAGCACAAGACTCAAAGACCATCGACAATGATGGACTGAACTGCTGCAAAATCATCTTGCCGCTGGGAGGTGTCTTTTCTTGTAAAGTTTCTTCTTCGGTTTTCCATCATCACAAGTTGTGGGGAGTTGTTCTATTCACCAAGTGAAGAGTGCAGGTTTGTTAGGTTACAATTTCCTGTGTCGTTCAAGCTCTTGTTCAATGTGTGCAGAGCCTCTGCCCTTTTAAACCGCTGGTCCTCGCCTCCTTCCGTTCGGCTTCCAAGGACATGAGGAGATCATCCACCTGAAAAAAGGAAACAACAACTCAGTGCCCTCTCAACCCTTAGAGAATTCAACTGTGTTTTATCTTTAGTCTTTCTGGTCGTACAGAACGAGATCGCAAGAGGTCCAGAGCCAAGTGAAAGCAAGGCCTTTCAGGTTGCACAAGACCGTCACACCAATGTTGCAGGTATGTTTGACCTGATGTGGGAAGTGGGCTCGCTTCAGCACGCCTTGCCCTTGTCGAGTGGAGTCGCCTGCCCATTGCGGCCCATTCTGCTTCTAGAACCCGCTTCTTGGCTGAACGTTACCCAACACGTTCTTGTCTCCAAGACATCCAGGAACCCTGGCGAATCGCTCGACTCAAAGACCCCTTCTACAACCCACATCTCAGCCACCTTCATTCACATCGTGCGCAATTCAATCTTGGCTGGAAGTTCAAGCATCTATGACCTATGAACTAAGGTACAAGTACCTTCCCCTTGTCCAACCTCTGGATCTTGCTCATCGCCAGACTGTCGACATCTCGCCTGCCATGTTGTGTTCAATCATTCAACGATATGGATCTTCAAATCCAACCCGGCCACCTTCGAAGACAATGGGCCAGTTCTCTTCGAAGCCCCAAAGAACCAATTTTGAGGGCATGTTCTCATGTCGCGTTAGATGTTTGTTTGGTTGCCGGCGATCCACAGGGCCGAGCCCAAGTTTGCTCAAGCGCCAATTGCGCCCAAGCAGGGTCACAAGTCACTTTGTAGTTCGCAGCACTAGATGCGATGGTTCCGTTTTTCTGTGTTCTTTGTGTCGGAAGGCTGTCTGCATGCGACTCAACACAGGGGCCAAGCAAAACAATGGCATCTAAACAGAATGTTCTATGAAGAGTTTCAAGGCATGGTTGATCATTCATGGTTCACTGATGGTTCGGCGGTGAGCGCCGTCCCTAAATTCGCTTGTTTGGGGCGCTCTTTCAAATTGCTCCTAGTAGTAAGAACGCTACTAGGGGCTCCTGTTCGGAGCACAAGTTCGAAATGCTGAAATTCATGCGTGGAATCTGTTTTGCTGGCCATCCTGCGGGAATCCTTCAGCTCCGGCGAAGTGCGTTTCTGAAGGAAACTCGCAGTTTGGGGTTTATAGTGAGCTTTGGGTGGCTGGTACTCCTGGTGATGATAGCCAAACTGAAGGGCAACCTTCATGATACGTTTTGTTTGCTCTTTCAATTTAATGTGTTTCCTTCTCAACTAATGTCTGGCAAAGCTGGTGTTCCACACCTCGCTGGATCAGCATTAGCTACAGTGACATCTGAGATTGGGAAAGATCATGTTTGCTGAAAACGATTTTGTATGTATATATTATTGCGAGCCTTTTTGAGCCTGGCTTTAGAGGGCCTGCGTACGTACGCGAAGTGGAATGGATTTCATTTGCCACTCCTCCTTGGGGTGCTAGGGTAAGCCTTTTCGTGCCTAGCGCCCCACTTCAGAAATTGAGTGATGGGCTGTCCAGGAAGGGAGAGTGCTTCTCCATCTCCTTAAAGATCTTCGGGTCTTCAACGTTTCTTTTCCCTTCCTGGTTGTCCCACCATCTTGCCTCTAGGGCTTGTAAATGCTTCTTTGCCCTCATTCCTGACCTTCCGGCTGGTGAATTCAAATCTCCCAGCTCTTGAAAGGTGAAACTCAAAATGCATGCCTTTTTGGCATCGTAGGTCATCGACCTGTCATGCATCACTCCATCAACCGTTCGCTTCTCACTTCGCTCACGAGCATTCATGCTTGCATCTTCTTCTGCTTCACTTTCTGGTTCTCGAGGTTCAAGGTACTCCATAGGGATGCTCACAACTTCTCCACTCTCCAGTCGCACTGTTGCAGTGTCACCTAGCTGGAGATCTTCTTCTTCTGACATGGCAACATCCGTCTGCTCTCCTGAAGTTTCGGCTTGCTTCCTGTCGAGCTCCTGAAGCAAATAGGATTTGGCTTCCTGCTTAAGCTTCAGGAAATCAAGCTTTCGATTGGACTTCTGGATGTAGTCCCAGTGCTGCCATTCTCCATCTTCGAACTCCGCTTCATCCACATACCCATTGGCCTTGACTAGGCCGCGGTGAATTTTCTGAATCAGGCTTCCCAGAACTGCTGTTTCCTCCTTTCTCTCATGCTCGAAGGCATCAATCATCATCCCATCTACTCTTTGGGCTTCTTTCATTTCTTCAAGATCTTCCAAGACCCTTTGAAGTCTCTGCCACATTTTGTAGCCTGCAAAGGCTAAGCCGCCAACAATCATCACCAGGAAGATCATGATCACCCACATAGCCCACCATGTAGTGGAACTCGTCGCCGTTGTTGGTGTTGTGACACATTGGGCTTCTGACTCTGCCACTTCTCCAGCCACTTGCCCAAGACCCTCCAAAAGCAAAATGCGATTGAGCAACTTGGCCAGCCTGTTGATCCTTGACTTGCTGAACTCCTCATTTTCATTTCTCACACGCTCGTCTTGGCCAATTCTTTCTCCTTGCCCATTGTATACACCACACCAGTTCAGGAGCAGATTGACGCGATTCTTTGATAGGGGTTTTGTGCCCAAGTCAGCCACATTCTTCGCCGTTCCGACTGGCATCACCTTAAGTTGTTCCTGTAGTACAGCACCCTGTATCCACAAGAGTTTGCCAGAAACATGGCGTAGTTTGCCTGGCCCTTTCCGATGACAGAGATGTAGAGCAGCTGAATTGTCAACCATGCAGCAGTGTTCCACCTCCTCTTCTATCAAGAAGCTCAAACACCTCCGTAGGTATATGCCATCTGCTGCGCTGCTCACCAAGGCGTTTAACTCTGCTTCTGCTGAGCTCAGGCTAACTGACTTCTGTCCACGTGAAGAAGAAGCTACCACCACTCCATTGACCATGTGGATTGCTGAGCTCGTTGAACGTCGATGCCCTTTTGCTCCAGACCAATCGCTATCGGAAAATGTCTCCAAAATCCAACGTGTCTCGAAGCTTTGGTGCACCAGTCCGTGTCCTGGTTCATTCAACTCCAGTAAACTGTGTTGCCCCATTGTATGCTTCAGGTACCCTATCAGCTTACCAAGCTTCCTCAAACTTGCGGCTGTTGGACAGGACATCGTGGACGCTAACTCCTTCACCGTATAGGAAACATCCAATCGCTCCTGAGACAGGTAGATGCCACAGCCTACCAAGGATCGATAGAGACTTGCAAGCTCATAGCCCAGGAGTGTTGTCCCATCTGGTTCAAGGATTTCGGGACCGCAGGGAAGCTTCTGGATCTTTGCCTTCCCCATCTTGCTCTCATAGGCCTCCACCATGTTCTCGGCATACTTCCCGGGATGAACTTTCAGGCCATTCTCTACCTTCTCATAGGTCCTTCTCAAGAACTGAAAGCTGCTGCCATCCTCTTCAAGATGCTGTTCCGAAATGTCAAAAACCTTCTTCATTTCGGGAATGAACTCACGCAGCACATACTCCTTGCTGCCGACAAACATGATGTCGTCGACATGGATGAGAACGCACATGGACGGCGCTTTGCCAAGACATGGATTTTCTGGGCAAAACTTGAAGTCCTTGCCCTTCAGCCATTCAGTCAAGTGGTCGAACCAAGCCTTGGCACCAATTCTTTGTCCGGAAGATTTCTGAGGACTTCAAAGTGTCCCGTGGCCGTGGTGACCTGTGTTGGGACTTCCTGCTTAACCTGTAGGAATGCATCTTTCACGTCCAGGCTTCCAAGGATGGTCTTTTCTCCTCCCATAGTCTCTTCTGCTTTCTTCCCAAGGTACATGAGAGGAAGCAATCGTAAAGCCTGTCCACCTGTAGCCGGGGCATGGATGTCATCCCTCTTGTCCGTTGCATATTCACGTGCCACCAGCCTCGATCTTCTCAACCACTGTTTTGGACCACTTCCTTCTTTGTCCCGATGCTTGGCTCTCCAGTCTCTCGCAAACCGGGTTGTCAGCGTCTTGTGACTGGCCATCAACTTGTCCATTCGGCTCAACACTCCAAGCTTCTGAAGTCTTGTTTCTTCCACAGCATCAGCTATGTCCTCAATCCACTGGTGGTTCTGGAGGTACCCTGTCCAAAGGGGCATTCTTTGGACCACAACTCATCAGGCAGTTCATCCATGGCCTGATCATCAGTCTCATCTTGCCATGCTACCAACTCCTCCTCACCAATGATGGAGTCCATATGGTAGAAGACATCGTTTCCAACCTGCGTAGCAGTCACCCTTCTCTCATGTTGGATTGTTGGATCTTGTTTTGCCCTCTTCGGATCTGGATCTACCCCCTCATGTTCAGGAGTCAACTTCTCTATTGTTGGCTTGAGCTTCTTGGCTTCCGGAATAGAGCTTTCTGCCGGCTGTCCAACCTTCTGAGCTGCAGACCTTGGCGTCGATGGGGAGTCCAGCAGCGAGAACGCACTTGGTCTTGACGGTCCTAACTGATTCTTCTCCTCATCCACCACTGAAGCATGAGGAATGTCCACACTTGGTGCCATCACCATTGGAAGACTCAACTCCTGATCTTCCACCACGCTTTTCCTCTTGTCTTCAGCTAACTTCAAGGTCTCCTCCTGCTCAACCATCTCCCTGCTGGCTTTCTCTTCCTTCTCCTCTGCTTCTCGCTGCGCTTCCAGCTTTCCTGCATAGGACCTTGCATAGGCGAGCACCTCCTGAGCTTCTTGGTCTCCTTCTAGTATATCTTGAACTCCAGGAAGCATAAGACCCACCTCTGGTCCTTCAAGCACAACCAGTCTCTTTGATGGTACAATCCTTCCACCAAAGTTCGTCTGGTATTCCCAGCTGTAAGCTGCAAAGCCTTTGAAACATGGGAGATATCGTTGCCAGGAATCTTCAACCCGTCGGACTGACTTGCTCAAGAAAACTCTTGACCCATCACCAATGACCCAGGCATCTTGGAGTTCACTTTTTCCCAAGCAAATGCCAACCTTCCAGCGTGGGTCCGCCTTGAATCCCTGTTTTGGTTTCGTGTAGGCGAAGACAACCTCCCCATACTGGCAAAGCTTTCCCTTGTAAGGTCTCCCATGTACCAGCTCGTAGCTTGTTGCTCCTTGCACTGGTTGGTATCTGTTGAGAAGCCATGCACTGTGTCGACATGCCCAAGTCCACAAAGGATGTTGACCATTGAAGCGTAGTCCTGTGTGTTTGGCGACATTCTCCATCAAAGTTGCTGCCACTGAGCGAACTCTTTGGATGGCATTCTCAACCAGGGAATTGCCTGCGTGGTCATAGATCTTGGTTGTCCTCATCTTCGTCTTCAATCCCATTGCTCCTCTCGCTTGGACCAAGAGGCGGGACACCTGTCTCAGTGTCGGCTCATTGTCAGAGTAGTAGGTGACCTCCTCATGGCCGAGAACCTGAGTGAAGGAGAGCGACTCGTGAGCAATGAGATTCAATTGGGACTTTGCTTTCAAGGGCAAACCCAACACATATCCTGTTTCTGCACAGACCGCAATCAGCCATAGTGCACCTGATTCATCATCCGCCACACCCATCTGAGCACCATCATCATCTTCTGGTGATCCTAGTGGCCCGATCCCGCTGGCATGCGTGAACGCAAAGTCGAACGAGATAGCTGGCCCTGCTTCCCGGGCTTGACCCGATCTCCTGCGCTGGTCTGGCCGCGCTCGATGTTTCACGCAGCTCTCACACCAAGCGGCGTATGGAAGATGTGTGAGATCATGTAGCCTTTGCTCCTCCTTGCTTGGAGTCTTGGCGATCGTCTGCTCGATGGGCTTCCTGGCTAGAGCTGCTTCCGCACTTCTGGTCAGATCTCTAGCTCTCATCAACTCTAAAGTACCTTGATGTTCAACCAGTCTCTTGAAGCATCTTGCCTTTCCTCCACTTTGCCCAATCTTTCTCGAAGTGCTCTCAGCGGGCTTTCGCTTGTGAGCTCAATGTCATTGACTCGAATTCGGTCGGGAATTGGGATGCCGACCTCAAACCTCACTTCCTGATCATCAAGATCAGCTCCACCTTCAAATTCTCCAATGGCCATAGGAACCTCTGCACCTTCAAAGCCATCGTCCTCATCGTCGGCCTCTGGTAGGGCCAAATCCTCATGCGCTGCAGCCTTGAGTCCGTGTGAACCAAACTCAAATGGACCCATGTCAAAGCCAAGGTTTCAGGGCTCTGCGGGACGTTGTAGTGCGCCGCAAAGCTCAGCGCTCGAGATCTTCCAACCTCCTTCAGCTCTTCAATCTCGGCTTCCTGGTCCTCAAGGCCGTCCACAGGTTCTGTCATCTCGACTGGCTCCCATAGACCATCTGTCTCAACCAGGGTAGACCTGCACAGTCCTTCTAGCTGCTCCCTCAAGGCTGGAATGTACTGTGGGCTCTGGAAGTACTGACTCAGGTGGTAACCAATCCACACGTCACCAACCTTCCTCCATCCGATGGAACCATCCACAATGTTCTTCAACTTGTCACTCAGCACCGCCTTCAACGTGCGAACACATCCAGCTTCCACGAGGGTCCTGACATAGCCCCTCACCACCAGACTGTTATTCTGAAACGTCAGCGGCACTCGAACACTGCCATTGTACATGCAATGCTCCTTCGCATCAATCGACCATCCTGCTCGTAGAAGATGGCCAAATGACAAGATGGGTTGTGCCACCACGTCACTGAAGGTGACACGCTCTTTCAAGATGACTTCTCGGTCATCCTCCGCTTGAAGGGTGATGCTCACATCTCTGTGCCCAAAGGCGTTGATCCGAGTACCTTGGGCATCCTGTAGGAGAGGTCTACCGCCTCTGATGCGCTCTCCTTTCCTCAGCATGAAGCCAGGGAATAACGAAGCATCAGCACCTGAGTCCACGATTATGGTGACCTCTTCCTCGACATTCTCCCTCTCAAGCTCCTCACTCCGTTGTCCAACCATCTTGATGGACAATCCTCCCATCTCGATTGACTCATTGCGGTCGTCCACATCCATGTTGAAGAACTCCACCTTCTTCCTTTCACAACCAATGCCCTCAGTACAAATTGCAAAAACTCGAATTGAGCCTGTCTCGTCCTCCACAATTCCTCGAAGGTCGAAAACCACAGGCTGTGAAACACGTCGAATTGCCTTGGCTACACTGCTCTCTCCTCCACTTGTAGTGCTCAAAGTCGTTGATGGAGAGGTTGTAGCCTGACTGGATGACCCTCCTGATTGGCTAGGGGGTGCCTCCACTTGCCTGACTCGCCAGCAGTCCTTCGAGTGGTGTCCCGGGCGTCCGCACGTCCAACAGGTGTCACCAACTCCCTTTCCTTTGCCCTTCTGCTCTTTGCTGGCTTTCCCCTTTCCATCAGGCTTTCCACCAAAAGGTTTCCCTTTCCCCTTGCCTTTGCCTTTATCCTCTTTGCCCTTGCTCTTGCCCTTGCCATCTTTGCCACCTTTGCCCTTCATGCCTTTACTCTTGCCATCTCCCTTCTGCACCCGGTCAATCTCCATAGGAGCGAGTCCACTGGGGTCTGAACTGAATGGTATTGGGCTCGTAGTTGAAGTGAAGCTCAATGCTGCGCTTTCATTCCATTTTGTATTCGCCGTGTCGAAGGCAAGGACTGCCTCCCTGATCTTCTGGTAGGAGCTTCCTTCATTCAAAGTCATGTTCAAATGGATTTTGAGTGGCCCAGTGATCACCCTCAACAAAACCGCTGAGCGCAGATCAGGAGTCAGCTTTCCTCCAAGTTTCTCATACTGGTTGAAGTGTTCTTCCAACTTTAGGATCTGCGGGAGGACGCTGGTCTTCATGTTGAAGTTGGGATACGCCATGATCCCTTGCAACAAGCTCATTGTCCTATTGCGGGCCTGAGGCTGACAGTTCACTAGAAGCTGCCGGAGGGCTTCGTGCCCGTTGAAGTTGTCCACATTCTTGATCAGCCCGATCAACCGGCCTTGGATGAGGGATCCAAGCAAGGAATACAGGAACCTGCTCCGCTGCTGTTCCTTGGAATCCATGAGGTCCCACTCGGTCTCCACCGTGAGATCCTTTTCAATCTTCTCCAACTCTGACTGGAACTCACTGTCGACCACCACCAAATACTGTTTCAGGCACCAGTACCAGTCTCTCCATTGTAGGATCTCCTGCTCCCGGTCGGAGGGGTTGAACACCCCTGGACGGGGTATCAGTTTGGCCAGATCCTTCTTGCTTGCTTCTGAGCTTTCTCCTCCAGCTTGACCTCCTGTCGAAGATGCCGCTGAAGCCGCCTGTAAGGCTTGGGTAGCCGCCTGAGCTGTTGCAATCAGGGCTTGAGTCGGCTCTGGAAAGCTAGTGAGATCAACTCCAACTCCCCCTGATCCATCCATGCTCCAACCTTGCCGTGCAGGATCACTTCAACTCCCTTAGGCTCAACCAAGTAGGAGCTTATCCAAAACCTTTCCAACCTTCTTGGAGTCCAGCAAAAGGGCAACCTTGTAATCGATGAGGTCCTCCGCTCTTGGTGACCAAATAGGCTCAAGCGCCGATTGCGAGATCGTGCAACACTAGTATGGGTGGCTAGGCAAAAGGCGCAGCTCGAGACTTGGGCGCGTGAGGAGGCTAGGGTCCTGGCCTCAAAGGCTCTGGAGCTCGGGTCAGAGCGCACTGCAATGACCGTCACGGCTCCGCTACCATGCGAGCCTTTTTGAGCCTGGCTTTAGAGGGCCTGCGTACGTACATGAAGTGGAATGGATTTCATTTGCCAATGATATATATATATATATATGTGTGTGTGTGTGTGTGAGCATCGCGAGCATTGCGACACGGGTCAATATTTGACTAGAATTCTCCCGACAAAAGAACATACCACCAAAAGGCTTACCCACCCTTTTAATTACCCGCTCAACCCACAAAAATGCCACCGCAATATATGCAAATCTGTCACTTGAAGCACCGATTGAGACGCACGGAGATTGAATGACAGGGGAGCATTAGAACTGGACAAACTGGACATTTGGATTTGTTTGAGCTTTGATCCGTTAGATCCTCGGAGTACCTTGTCGTCTTTGTTGAGTGTGCTGGATGATCGACCCTTAACGCCAGATTTTCTCAAAAAGGTTCAGAGGACAGGATTTGTTGTTTGTGGAAGCGTCATCAAAGACGCCAGCAACTCATCCACAGTGGCAACTCAGCCAAGCCTCTGCAAGCTGTCGCAAACGCCGCTCCTCCCGTAGCTGAGCCTTGCAATCAGCTTTGGTTTCTGCCAAATTCAGTTTGGGAGCGCCGACTGCAGAAAGGTACCAGGAACCTGAAAAAGAAAGAACAAAAGGATATAGAAACAACGAAAAGAGATACAGAAGAAAATTATACCGGCATAGACCCCAGATAGCACTTCAAGAGAAGTTGGACACCATGGCAAGAGCGGGAGACAAGCTTGGGAGACATCTCACTCAAAGCCGGGAAAAGGATGGAAAAGGTAAACAAGGCCTAAATCACCTTATAACAGCATCCGCATCAAAGCCAGGCAAGAAAATGACAAGGCGGCAGCGGCAGCCAAGAGCGAAATCAGGAACAGAGACAAGCTTGGGAAACACGGCGGCAGCGGCAGCCAAGAGCGAAATCACGAAGGGAGACAAGCTTGGGAGACAAGCCGGCAGCGGCAGCCAAGAGCGCAGTTATGAAGGGAGACAAACTTGAGAAACAAGACGGCAGCGGCAGCCAAGAGCGAAATCATGAAGGGAGACAAGCTTGAGCGACAAGACGGCAGCAGCAGCCAAAAGCGAAATCATGAAGGGAGACAAGCTTGGGAGACAAGGTGGCAGCGGCAGCCAAGAGCGAAATCAGGAAGGGAGACAAGCTTGGGGAGACAAGGCGGACAAGCTTGGGAGACAAGCCGGCAGTGGCAGCCAAAAGCGAAGTCATGAAGGGAGACAAGCTTGGGAAACAAGGCGGCAGCGGCAGCCAATTTCCGCAATCCGGAACCAATCCATTGAGAAGTAAGAACCCATCTGGGGAAAAAGAAATTACACCAGAATCGACCCCAAACAGCAGTGGCAGTCGGAGTTTTCTTTTTTGGCGATCCATTCCTGGCGCCAAATCTCCCAGCATACAGACATATACAGACATGGCATGGGAAACAAAGGGAGGCAAGGGGAGACAAAGGGAGACAAAGGGAGACAAAACAAAATCCAGACACGCCATGGGAGACAAGGGGAGACAAAAGGAGACAAAGCAAAGTCA